CTACCGAATGAGACTCATCTCAAAAACTAACAGAATGAAACTTATGAGTTGAGGCCCAGCTTTCAGGAAGGAGACCCAGAGTTTCAGTTAAACAGAGAGTGAAGAGCATTTTATAGTTTGAGTCAGACTGAAAGGATGCCATGGGGCCCACAGACAGCATCCTGCTCTGGAGCAGCTCTCAGTGGTGATGAAACGGCAGACCAGCCGCTCGGAGGGGGCTTGAGGAACAGTGTTCTGAGGAGGCTTCTTTGGCCCTGAGTTATCTGATACACTCCAGCATAAACATGACAGCAGATAGCTTCACACAGGGGGTAGCAATACATTTGTTCTGTCCCTACCACCTGGACTTCCTCAGGGAGCAGGGGATGGAATCAGATGACTAGCCTCTAGGATACTAGATCTTCAGCTTTGCTCAAGACTTCTGGTGTGTAGTTTATTTATTTGCCTTTTAAGGCAAATGGCACAGGGTTGGCACCAGACTTGGAGGCTTTTCTTTAGCCCCACCTTTAGGAATGTTTGCATTTTTATTTCAAGTGCCATCAGTTTGCCCCAATTGATCTGTGGTACACTGTCATCATCAGCAAGAGTTAGTTTTACACTGAAAAATACTGGCAAAATGAACATTGAGTTCGTATCTATTATCTCCAGACTCCAGCCTGCCTCCATCAGCCAACATGCCCCACGTTTTCCCTAGGGACTATGTCCCTAAAAGAGCTCTCAGTGAGAAAAGGGCACAGTGCTGCCTTAGCCACTTTGTGAGGTCATCCTAACAGGACAGACAGCTTTGATCTTTAAGTCTACTTAGTCACTGAAGGAAGTTAGGTGGGAGGAGGGAATCAAGGCCAACTCCCACCCAACACCTCCATGGTTATCTTGGGAAAATTCTGAGAAGAGGAACAGACAAAAAAAAAAAAAAAAAAACCCTGAAAGATTTCAAGAAAACCTCCCTGCTCAGGCACCTTGTGTGGATGGGGTATTGAGCCTTGACAAAGGATTTTCATCTGAGAACTTTCAGAGGCATGTGTGGGAGGGGGCTTAGGAGATTCAGCAGGTGGGCTCCACACGGGTGGACGCTAGAGTGCTGTAAGAAACCAGGGCCTTTCAGACACTAGTTCTCCATGATGGTGCAGAACGGTGGGGTCTGACTTCACGTGTTCCCTGGGGGCCTGTCTTCTGCCGTCTTGCTGTTCTGCCCTGCCGCTGTCATTCACACAGATGAAGCTAGATCATGACTCCCAGCTGGAAAGTGAGAGGAAGACTTGTAGGGGTCCAGTGTCTTATATGATGCACTGAATTTTGCTACTATTTCATTGTCAAGGTGGTCACCATTTGGGTACATCAGGCTGCAAATGTCTCTGGGGCTGCCATGTGTGCAGCTTTTGCTGTATGTAACAATAATGAGGGAAGGTGAAAGTGGATTGATAGATAGCCTAGCAGTCTGCCTTACAGAAGACTTTGAAATTGAAAACTAACTGGTGGGAGGAAGAGGCAGGAGGATTTATGAGTTAGAACTGGCCAGCCTGCTCTACAGTTCCAGATCAGCCAAGGCTGCATGGTAAGATTTGTCACAAAAAAATAAATAAATAAAAATAAAATAAGAATTTTAAAAGGAAATTGGAAACTATTCACTGGGAAGATGACCCATGCCAACAATCATCAGTGCCCCATTGTGAGACAATGAGAAAAACACACTATAGACACACAGACTAGACCAATCCAACTGCAGAACTGCACTAGTCTCTTTCAAAACTAAAGCAGGGCTCTTCCTGAGAAGAGAAAGATGGTATTTAAAAGAAGCACTCATACAAGCAAGTAGCCAAGGTGTGAACTCAAGGCTGGAGAAGTGGCTCAGTGTTTAAGAGCACTTGCTGCTCTTGCAGAAGACCCAGGCTTGGTTCTGAGAAGCTCATAACCAACTATGACTCCAGGGTTGCCCTCTTTTGACATCCTTCGCTACTCCCCCACCCCCTGAATGCATGTATTCCATATACATATACTCAGGCGCATGCACACACATACACACTTATGTATATGTATACATACAGCTGGGCATAGTAGCCCATCTCTTTAATTCTAGCACTTGGGAGGCACAGACAAGGAGATTTCTGAGTTCAGCCTGTTCTGTACTGTGAGTTCTAGGACAGCCGAGTAACAGAAAAACCCTGCTTCAGAGACAGAGAGACAGAGACACAGAGATGGAAGAGGAAACATTCTCTTTACAGCATACTCTTTAGGGGCTGAAGAGACAGCTCAGTGGTTAAGCTGCTCTTGTGGGTTCAATTTCAAGCACCAACATGGTGGCTCACAGCTGCCACATGCCAAGGGATCTGATACTGTCTTGGCCTCTTGGAGAATCAGAATGGAACATGGTATATATACCCATGTAGCAAGCACATAGACACGTTAATCTTTTTAAAAAAGTAATGCAGCATCCTCCTGTAGTAGGGCTACCCTCTCTTACTGCCTGTTAACTCTGGAGTCAATCCTAGTTGCACAGGATCAGGAAAGAAAAAAAACAATGTTTACAGATTAAGCAGTCATATTCAAGACATACTAGTTTAAATGAGTAGCA